TTCTCCTCCTCCTCCCCCTCCCGGTCGTCGTCGATGTCTTTCAGGGTCGGCGGCACCAGCCGTCAGGCCTTAACAATCAGACCGACCAGGTCGAGCCCACGTCCGAGGAGGATAGTTAGGTTGCCGTTTTTTTCTTCGGTTAGGGTCGCTACCCAGGGGGAGGTCGAGCTCCTGGCAATACCCGAGAAAAAATCAGACCGACCAGGTCGAGCCCACGTCCGTGGAGGAGAGTTAGATGGCCGTTCTTCTCTTCGGCACCGGTCGTCACCCAACGGAGGGGAGGGGGCGTCGAGCGGGAGGGTGACCGTAACGGCGGCCGCGGTGCGCACCCGCCAGAGTGCGTCCGCGCCGCCGGCACGGTGCCCCTCAGCATGTACGGGGGGTCCAGGCCTCCTCCTGCTCCTCCTCCTCCCCCTCCTCCTCCCCCTCCTCCTCCCCCTGCTCCTCCCCCTCCTCCTCATCCTCCCTCTCCTCCTCCTCCTCCGCCTCCTCCTCCTCCTCTTCCTCCTCCAGGGGTCCGGGGGTCCAGTCCACGATCGTTAGCGTTGCCCGGAAGAGGGGGGGTTGGCCCAGGTAACGAGCGTAAAGCGCAAAAACGAAAGCGCTCCCTGGGCTGGAGGCCTCCCGCACCCGCCTCCGCTTCCGCTTCCGCTGAAGAGTCCCCAGCGCGCACTGCGGAAGGGAAAGGGCAGCAGCAGGAGCGGGCAGGGGAAGGCTTGCTCGGAATCGCTCGAGTCGAACCACATCAGTAGAGGAGGGTAGTCTTCCTCCTTCCTCCTCCTCCTCCTCCTCCTCCTCCTCCTCCTCCTCCTCCTCGGCCTCCTCCCCCTCCTCTCCCTCTCCTCCTCATCCTCCTCCTCCTCCTCTCCTCCACCTCCTCTCCTCCCTCCTCCCCTCTCCGCTCCTCGCTCCTCTCTCCTCCTCCTCGTCCTCCTCCTCGCTCGCTCCTCGCTCCTCGCTCCTCGCCTCGCTCCTCGCTCCTCCTCTCCTCCTCCTCCTCCTCCTCCTCCTCCTCCTCCTCCTCCTCCTCCTCCTCCTCCTCCTCATTCTCCTCCTCCTCCCCCTCCCCCTCCACCTCCTCCTCTCGGGGGCGTGCAAGCATGGATTAGCGATCCATGGATTTGGCGCGCGGTCGCCAAATCCGTGGATCGGGAGAGGGGCCCTCTCCAAAATGCGGCCGGCGCCGCCTCGCTCGGCGGCCAAGAGATCCGCGACTTCCCATGAGAGCGGGACCCGTCGCGAATCCACGCCCCCTTGATCCATGTTCGAGATCGCCTGACTTTGGGAGTCGTCCTTTGGGGGAGCAGTCGGATCCATCGGTGCCACGCGCAGGCAGCGGCACACATCGTCGAAGCAGTCGGCTCAAGCGCAGCCCTGCCCCCCACGGCCATAACGGTGGCCCACCGAAAGCCGGTTGGGCCAGCAACAGCACTGTGTCGAAGCTCTTGTCGGGATCCATCTGCTGGTAGATCCCTCGAACCCTGAAACATGCAGAAAACTCGCGAAAAACTCCGAAGACCCAAACGCAAAACCCGACGGAGGGGACGAGGGCGACCCCTGGACCCCTCCGTTGAGTCCGCTATGACAGAGATTGCGTGGATAGTTCACCGGTGGCAACAATGACTCCCAGTGAGGCCTCAAAAGGCTGAAAGCATCAAACCCTGCGACCCCGCCCCGACTCCTTCACCTCTTCCACCTCCTCTCCCCCCCCTCCTCCTCCAAGGCCTGCAAATGCCTCCAGAGGTCTCTGGTGCTCTCCACAGGTCCCCAGAAGACCACAGGGGTACAAACCACTGGAAGCCTCCCGTGGCATCAAAAGACCGACACACACACACACACACACACACGATAACACCAATCCTGGATATCCCCACCCTTCCTCCTCCACTTCCTCTGATCCTCCTCCTCTCCTCCTCCTCTCCTCCGCCTCTCCTCCCTCTCCTCCTCCCTCCTCCTCCTTCTCCTCCTCCTCCTCCTCCTCCTCATCCTCATCATCATCATCATCATCATCATCATCATCATCATCATCATCATCAGCATCATCATCAGCAGCAGCATCAGCAGCAGCATCATCATCGTCATCATCATCATCATCACTGGCATCATCAGCATCAGAAGCATCAGCATCAGCATCAGCATCAGCATCATCATCATTAGCAGCAGCATCAGCAAAAGCATTATCAACATCATCATCAGCAGCATTATCACCAGCATTATCACAATCACAATCAGCAGCCGCAGCAGACTCATTATCCTCAGAGTATCCTCCTCGTGTTCCGCATCATCATCACCATCATCATCATTGTCATCATCATCAACATCAGCAGCATCATCAATATCAACCTCAGCATCAACAACATCATCAGCATCATCATCACGGGCATCATCAGCAGCAAAAGCATCATCAACATTAGCAGCAGCGTCATCTTCTTCATCAGCATCATCAGCAGCAGCAGCATCATCATACTCAGCATCGTCGTCGTCCGCATCAACATCAGCATCAGCATCAGCACCAGCAGCATCAGCATCAGCAGCATCAGTATCAGCATCATTATCATCATCAGCATCATCATCGTCGTCGGCGTCGTCGTCGTCAGAAGCAGCAGCAACATCATCATCCCCTATCTCTCATACCTCCTCCTCCTCCTCCTCCTCCGACACTCTGGACCCCCCCTCCGATTCCCTTGCCCTCATCCTGAACTTGCTCCTTCTCCTCCTCTTCGCCCTCATCATCAGCATCATTCTCATCCTCATCATCATCATGATCAACATCAGCAGCAGCAAGCACCATCATCATCAGCATCATTGTCATCATCAGCATCATCATAAACATCAGCATCATCATAATCATAGTCACCATCATGAATCATCATCATCAGCATCGTCACCATGATCATCAGCATCGGCGCAATCAGCATCGTCATCATCATCATCATCATCATCATCATCATCATCGTCGTCGTCATCATCATCATCGTCAGCAGCAGCTGTACGATCGTCACAATCACCATCAACATCGTCATCATCATAGATGTCATGATCAACGGCAGCATCACCAGTATCATCCGTGTCAATATCAAAAACATCCTCATCAACATCACCATCACCATCACAGTTGTCACCATCGTTGTCATCGACAGCATGGTCACCATCCCCAAACATCATCACTACCACCATCAGTATCACCAATATCACCATCACCATCATCACTAGCACCATCATCATCATCAGCATCATCATCACCATGAGCAGCATGGTTCCTCCTCTCTTCGACCCCTATCCCTCCTACTTATCCACCCCTCCCTCTACACCTGTTCCTCGCCATCAGCATCATTGGAATAACTATCCGAACCGTGGTCACAGCATCAGCATAATCTTCTTCATCATCAGCAGCATCAGCATCATCAGCATCATCATCTTCATCATCGGTTTCATCATCATGGTACTCGTCGTCATCATCCTCGCGGTCGGCATCATCATCATCATCTACATGATCGTCATCATCAGCAGTATCACCCATACGTTTGGCAGCACCTTCCTCCTTATCACCGTCATCACCACAACGCCATACCCGTCACCACCATCACCATCATACCCATCACCGTCATCTCCCGTGTTATTCTCGACAACATCAGCATCATCACCCACATCCTCACGACCTCGCTCAGCACCACCAGCATCACCCTCACCATCAGAAGCATGATCATCCTCGTCCTCCGCCTCATCGTGATCATGCTCATGATCATCCTGCTCATCCTGATCATCATCATTATCATCATCATCATCATCATCATCATCGTCATCATCGTCATCATCATCAGCATCAGCATCCTCATCATCACCATCATCACCATCATCGGCTACATCATGATTAGCAGTACCACCATCATCATCATCAGCAGCATGAGCATCATCATCACCAGCATCACAATTATCAGAATCAAGAATCAGCATCATCGGCATCATCAGCATCGTCATAATCATAAGCATCAACATCATGTTCATTATCCTCATCATCATCAAAACCAGCATCAACATCATCATCATCAGCATCATCGTCATCATTATCGCCATCATCATCGTCATCGTCGTCATCATCATCAGCATCATCCTCATCCTAAGCAGAAGTAGCAGTACCATCAATGTAATCAGCATCGGCAACATCCTCATCAACAGCAACACCAGTCTCATCGTCTTCATGTACACGTATTGGTCTCGTCTTCTTCTTCTTCGTCAGCATTTTCCTCATCAGAATCATGGTAATCATCACCATCATCAGCATCATCAGCAGCAGTATCACCTTCGTTTTCTTTGTTGTCATCAGCATCATCGTCATCCTCCCCTTTATAGTCATCATAAACATAGTTCTAATATGTATCATCATTGTCACCATCATCATCATCACCATCATCATCACCATCATCAGCATCCTCCTTTTCATCATCATCGTTGCATCATCAGCATCATTATCATCATCACCATCATCATCATCATCATCACCATCAGCATCATCACCGCCATCACCATCATCAGCATCACACTCACCATCGTTTCATCATCAGCATCATCACCATCATAATAATCATCATCACCATCACCAGCAGCAGCATCATGATCCTCATGACCATTTCCGTCCTCATGTGATCATCAACCTCATCATCCTATCCGCTATCGCACCCTCCCTTCCTCCTTCCCTCCCACCGACTCTTCCTCAATCCCCCACACACTTCTCTACTCCCCTCCCTGCCTCCATCCCCCCATCCTCCTCATACTCATCATCACCCCGCCCGCGCAGGAGGAGCTGGAGACGGAGATGGGGAGTACTGGGACCACGACAACGACGACGACGACGACGACGACGACGACGACGACGACGTTGACGACATCGACGACGATGTTGACGACTACGAAACCGACAACGACGACGACGACGACGACGACGACGACGACGACGACGACGACGACGACGACGACGACGACGACGACGGCTGGGCCCTGGCCTTCGACGCCCCCTCCGCGGCAAAAGGCCCCCACTCGCCCTGCGCCGCGGCCACGCCGCTGGCCCGCCCGGAGGCGGCCCAGCGGCCGTCGCGCCTGAGTTCGTCGGCCCCAGCACGACGAACATGACAGTGCTGATGATG